CACTCGGGTGTGAGGAGGGGCAGTGGGAACTAAATTGGTTAAAACAGAAGCTAATGTTATCTATTAATAACACATAGATAGATGAGAGAGAGACAGAGAGAGAGAACACAAAGAGAGAGAAAGAGAGAGGGGGGGAGGGAGGGGGGGAGACAGAGAAAGAGAGAGAGAGAGAGAGAGGTAGAGGGGGAGAGAGAGAGAGAGAGAGAAAGACAAAGGGGGGAGAGAGAGACAGAAACAGAGACAGAGAAACAAAGAGAGAGAAACAAAGAGAGAGAGAGAGACAGAGAGAGAGAGAGAGAGAATGAGCAGCTTCCTTGTAAGGCATAGCATTAAGATTCAAAATGATCAATTATTATTTTATAATAATAATTATTATAACTATTATAACTATTATTTTTATCCCCATACAGAGCAAGAAAGTACCATCTTTCCCAAGCTTTGTTGATGGTAAGGACCCTTCTGCTTCTAATATTTATAACTCTAAGAAACCCAGTGAGGAAATTCTAACAAACCCAAGTGCAGTGTGAGGACTGATGATGTTCCCTAGTTGGGTCATGAGACATCTACAAGCAAACAACCCAACTCAGAGAGCACAAAGAATTCCCCATAAGTTGAAGAGATTCTCTTGGAATTTAGAAAGTTCTCGGGAGCAATGATTCTGTGACTGGAAAAGTCCCTTTCCCTCCCTAAAAACTAGCCCTTAATACATCAAATAAACTGCCTTTTTTTCAGAAGTCTCCCACTATAAGGGGCTTCAGACCCTCCACAGTATCCCTCCACAGCCAGGGTGCTTAAATATTACTTTAATAACCAGCGCAGGCATGTGGCCTAATGAAATTTAAATGTGTTTCTCTGATTGATCTTTGCTGGGAATCTCATGGTTTGTAACATGCTTCGCTTCACCCATGTCTCATTTGCAATGCTAGAGAATTTATATCTATTGTTAAAGTTGGCTGAAGGAAAACCTCTCATTTCTCCCTCCCACGAGAAGATAAATGGACATAATTGAAGAAAGGGTTGCCTGGATTGGAAAGAAGCCCCAGTGAGTAAGACAGGCTTATTCCTGGGTAGAAATGTGGAGGACCGCATCATTGACTGAAAAGAGCCCGGATTCTTTGCATAAAGGTCTACTTCACAACACGATGTTTTAGAAGCTCTTACTGTAGCCCCCTGTTTCTATTGCGGTGGAGGACTTTGGATGAAGGTCTCCACTGATCCTGGAAGACAGCTTGGCCAGAATCAAGTCAATGTCTCCTAGATTGAACACGGTTTCCCCTTGATCTTCCGTGGTGTGCAGAAAGAGGGAAGGTCTGCCAGTCAATTGAGGCTTACGAGACCCAACCAAATAGTTGGTAACCGTTCCGCCTGATCAACCATTGCTTCGCCGGCTCCCATGATTTGGGTGGGGAAAATGGTTTTGGTTTTCCAAGTCTTTTAGGAAGCCTTGCTTCTTCTTTGCATCCACCTCTGGAACTCAAGATCTTCAGAGATCTTTGATTGCCTCCATCAAATGAACAAGGAGCTTTGTGCTTGGGTCAACAAGGGCTTCTAGGTCTTGAGTGTGAACTGTGTGTCTTCCAAACAGCTCGGTTTAGCCTCTCCTCAGATTTCATTTTAGCCCCCGACTGAGATGCGTTCGTTCATTTAAGCTTTCTGCTCAGCATGAAGTTGGGCTAGAAAGATTCTTAAATGAGAAAAAAAACTATGACTTTGAGCTTCTCCACCATGCCTGCACTCTCTGCGGTGCGCTCCAGGATTTGACATCTATAAATGCAACCAACCAACCAGCAAATAAAGTGTTCTCAAGCTCAGGATGAGCCCTACCAACCACCCTAGCAACTGATCTGCTTGGATAGTATCAGCCATAGCTTGGTCTGCCTCTCCTTTTCTCTGCGATACAGTATTTTGATTCTTGACAATGCCTTCCCATTTTCGTTGGCCTCTCAGCTGCCTCTCAGTCCCGCTGTTGTTGAGGTGGTCAGTGCCAACTGACACTCTCCTGCAAAGGCCTTTTAGAAAACCAGCAAAGCCTACTCAAATGGAGGTGAATGCTCTTTTTCTAATCTTGACATGCTTAAATTAACAGGAACAATAACCAGCTAAGCAACGGGGGAATTTCTCGTTCTGTTATTTTTCCTTGGGGAAAAACATGTGCCTCGCATAGGAACAAGCCCTGGGCTTGTTGTGAGTTTAAGAGAGGGGAAAATATGTATTTTCAGGAACCTATTCACGGAGCCAGCTGGAATCTCTCTCTTGATTCACCACATCTCTTCCTCTGTGATTTTATTTTATTTTTCTCCTTATGAGAACAAGCGTTCGGCTGCTGCCACAGCGAGCATCCATGTTTCTACTGTTGCATTGTTAAAGGGAGGAAATTGCCTTGCCTTGTAATGATCTTAGGTGGGAGATGATAGCAAGAGGCATCAGTCTGCAAAAAGAAAAAAGAAAAAAATTAAGCTTCAAGCAATCCCAACTCTGCACGTCTTCCATTTTATGAGTAGCTCAAGGATCTCTTCTTAATTGAGGCTCAGGGTCTCATAGCCATAGATTTAGTGGAAATAAGCAAGAACAAAACTTGAGTAAGATCAGTTTGATCATTTGTGCTATTTTTTTTAAACACTGATAATTAATTTTAATAAAAGTGACCTTGTATTTATTATCCAGAACACAGGTACAAAATGTCTGTTAATTAATTATTATTTATTAATGTCTATTAAGAAAAGAGGGTTTTGGATTTGTAACAATAACAATAGCACTTTATATACCACTTTATAGTGCTTGACAGACCCCTCAAAGCTGTTTACAGAGTCAGCCTATTTGCCCCCAACAATCTGGGTCCTCATTTTACCCACCTCAGAAGGATGGAAGGCTGAGTCAACCTTGAGCCGGTGAGAATCGAGCTGCTGGCAGTCGGCAGAGTTAGCCTGCAATACTGCCTTCTAACCACTGAGCCACCAAGACTCTCCCGTAGTTCATTCTTCCTCTTTGGCTGCTTCTACTTGAGACATCATTGCCTCTTCTCCGCTTTTAGTTCCAGGTCCTTGCGAGCCCGAGGATCTCATCGATGGCATCATCTTCGCAGCCAATTACTTGGGTTCTACCCAATTGCTCTCCGAACGCAACCCTTCCAAAAACATCCGGATGATGCAAGCCCAGGAGGCAGTGAGCCGTGTCAAGGTAGGGTGGGAAGGACCAACAACCTTTAATGATTGGACTTTCAAGATTTGGAAAAACCGGTTCTCCTCGGGGAACGTGGGGACCTTCTTGCTGCAGACAACCAATATCACAAGAGCTTTCCAAGGTCTTTGAGATCACCGTCGAGGCTAGATTCAGGGATCTGGGTCTGTAATGCAGCTCTGGATCAGAGCTAAATCTGAAAGGGACATTCATTTATGTTCTGGAGATGACCCCTTGATTTCTAAAGCATATAAAATGTTACTCAAGATGAACCAAGAAGGTGAATATGTTAGAGAATGTATAGTAAAAAGTATGGGTAATTTTGGGGGGTATAATATAATGCTAGATAAATGGGAGAATGTATGGATGAATGTACTAAAAATTACATAAAATTATAGCTCGAAAGAAAACTTCTGTAATATGATATATTGTTGATACTTGACCCCCAGATAAACTAGTGAAAATATATAAAGGGATTTCTAATAACTGCTGGAAACATAGTCCAAATCCAGGTTCATTTTATTATATGTGGTGATCTTGCAAATATGTGAAAACATACTGGATAAAGGTAATCATGACAACCTTCTCAAACTCATTTCAACCTCACCTTTCTAGAAAGTGACAGACTGGATGAGACAGCTGTAGATTTTCTTACGTAAGAATATGTAAGATAGGTACAGAACATAACATCATCCCCATATTTCTTAAGTCTAATTAGATACACTGATCCTAATTAGGTGGGTGAGCTCGTAATGTTTAGTTTGATTCCCTTTTTGTAAGCGGTTTATTAAGAATGTCTTCCCCTCTTGGCACTGTCTAACACACCTGTGTTGTGGGGCTGTCATTGTAACTGATTCTCAACAAGATTGGAGAAATGCAAGACAACATGACAACAAAAATAAGTTCGACTAGGTTTTCTGGATTCCTGGAAAAGACACTGGATGTGGTCGCTGTTTTTGGTGGCAATCACATCTTTCATAGTTGCAATGCATGTTGCCATGTTCTGGCACAGGCCCCTTGAATTCTCCCAATGAGCGTCACTAGACTTGGGTGGCCAATAACTTTCAAATAATTATTACAATAGAATATTCCCCAAAAGAATATTCTTTGTAAATATCTCCCAGGCTTTGGTGGCTTGGCTTGGTCTAATCTCACTGGTGGCTGCCATATTTAATGTCCTAGAACTGGGATCTCCAAACTTGGTAACTTTAAGAATTTAAGCATGTCCTGGCTGGGGAATTCTGGGAGTTGGTCCATAAGTCTTAAAGTTGTCAAATTTGGAGACCCCTGTCCTTAAAAAGCCTGAAATTTCTGGTTTATCAAAAGCAAGCAAAGATCTTCTAGGGAAACGAGAAGATCGCCTGATGTTTGAGAAGAAGACAAAAGAGCAGTGATTTTGGCCTCCCTCTGAAGTGCTTGCTTCATTCTCAGAATGGTGCCCGACGACCCCTTCGCATGCAGGGTACCCCTCTGTGAAAATTCCCACTCGTGACATTTTTGGGATCCCCGAGAGGAAGGATTTCCAAAATATTTTGCTAACTCCCCAAGATGGTTTCCCACCCCCCTCTTCTTCTCCCCCCTCCCCTTTTGTGCATTTGTCTGTTTCCCTTTGATTTATGTATTATTTATTTATTTTTAATGCTTCTCGTTCTCCCCAAGAGGATGCAAAAGGCAGCTAAAATCAAGAAAAAAGCGGTGTGTAAAACTGTTTTTCTTGAATTCTAATGTCTGTTTCACGTTCTGGATTGCTTTTGGCTTTTCCACCCATCCATCCTTTCTTTAATCGTCCTTGTGCATCCTGTTGTGCTTCTCTGTGTGGAAGTTCATGAAACCGTAGTATGAATCTTTTGTGTTTACGTCTGTATAAAAACCTATCTGCCTGGTTGGAGGGATGGAGGCCGGTTGGTTTCATTGGAGAACTTTCCATTTCTCCCCCAAGTCTTCTCGCTGTGCTACTTGGACAATTTCCCCCCTTTCCTTTTTAATTTTCATTACGCTTCAATAAACATAATATTTTTTTCTTTGGCAAAAGTTTCTTTCTGTTGATTCCCGCGGTAGCAGAAAGGGCTCTCAGGAATCGTCATGATTTATTTTCATTTTCAGCCTGCCAGCCAAGCTTTCCTTTTCTTAAGGTCAACTTGCCTTGGTTATGAAGATGAGGTTGATGGGAGGAAAAAGAACAGAGAACGGATTTTTGAGTGAAATGGCTGCTGGGGGAAAAACAATTGAATGGAGCTTGATCCTTTATGCTAAACTCCTCCTTTATACGTCATACATCAACTTAGGGTTTTAAATAAAGACAGCAATAAATCAGAGTAGATCCAACAAGTCCCATTTCTGCCCATTGGTGGTCTAAAGCCGGAAAGCCAGCCAAAATGTGTGTGATTCTTAAGTTTGGCTATTACCCTAAACTTCTGGAATAAAATCCCCTTCGTATAAATCACCTCTTGATCTTTAAAAAGTTTTCTGAGTGTCAGCCTCATCTGATTAATATAATTATTCCACTGGAGATCATTGCTATAGAAGCAAAACTTCAGATGTAGAATTTCTCTTGCCTTGTTTCCCATCTTTGGTAAAGGCAGAACTCTGAAATTGGAAAGTTAATTTGTACTGTTGAAGCTTTGCATGTCTTTTTTTGAAAGTTAACCATTCCAAATAGCTGTCCTGTGTCACGGCAAATCGCTCTGTGTTCCTGTTGTATGTCACATCATATCCGATGTAGTCTGTGAGGAGCCTACTATTTCAAGAACATTCTTTAAGTGAACTTACTACTGTCTTTTTTAGACTTCTGAAGGAGATGTCCATGCTTTGACAGAGGTGGACCTGTTCATCTCCACCCAGAGAATTAAAGTTCTTAATGCAGACACCCAGGTAAGCATTCAATCTCATCACTGCAGCATCCGTGACAGGGCCATTAAATAATTTTGATGGGTCAAACTCTAATCTCCCAACGTTTCTACAAGTGTCCCATTCAGATGTCTAGAAGAGCTAACCCTTTTTCTTCTCCCATCTTGTTGGTTGGAAAGGAAAATTGGAGGAAAGAGAAGATGGAGGGGACCATCTCCCTGTGTGACTTTGTCAAAAGGCAGATTGGCTTCAGGGTAGCTGCCCTCTCCAGATGATGAGTTTGGATCTTCATCTGTGGAATTCTCCATCTTGAGAATTCTGAGGGTTGAAATCGGATGGAGAAAGGCTGGAAAAAAATGTGCTGATCTGAGCTTTTGGCCAAGAGAAGATTCCTTGCATTTTAATTTAGAAAAGTTCCTGAACACTCATTCCAAAGCACTTCCATGTCCTGTAACAATGACAGTGGATCCTTCAACATTTTTAGTTTTCTTCCATATATTTTACATTTCTTCCTCAATCCCACAAGCCTGCAAAACAGAGATTTTGAAATCTTTGTCCTTGTCCGAATGGTGCTTATGAGCCAATTTCAGCTTTCTTTCATTTTACAGGCCTGCAAAGCTTGTAAATGCAAGAATGGGCTGCAAAATGACTTTTTTCTTTTCAATCCCCATCATGACTGCAGTCACTGTTTGGAGCAGTTGCTAAACAAGGATTTTCTGTGCTATCCTGCCAGGCCCGGAAAAGTGACTCTCTTTCTTCAAGCATCTCACTCAACTTTCTGGTTGTAGGTTTTCTCAGACAGTCATTCTCGACTTCTCGAGTCATTATGAAAAGGTCTGATTGTGGCCACCATGCGGTTCTGGGTTTATTCCTGGTATTTAATAAAATGGCAAACCACAACGGAGCAAGGTAGCCGATGTAGCAAATGAATTTCATAGTTGCATTTCGCTGCCGCCTGTAAATAATGAAAGCCACTGTGAACCCAGAAAGGCCAACCGTCTGCTTTGTGCCTGGTCCACCATAGCTAAAAGCAAGACTGGAGGTGCTAAGAGGGCTCTGAACAAATTAATTTCCTTCCTGCCATGGAGAATCAGGAGTTGCCCTTTGTGGACCTCTGTTGACTTTGATGTTCAGTGGGGTCTCTGGGGCAAGAGTTGAAGGACAACTGGCAATTTTTCTAGGATGCCTTCTGAAAGGTAAGGCAAGAGTTGAGTTGTTCACCCAGGGAGTGAAGTCGCATTCAAAGGTTTAATTAAGAACAATGAACCAATGGAATGGCTTGTCTCCAGAAATTGTGGGTGCTGGAGGCTTCCAAGAAGAGACTGGACAGCCCTTTGTCTGAAATGAACAAGGGTCTCCTGTTTGGGCAGGGGGTTGGACTACAAGACCTCCAAGGTCCCTTCCAACTCGGTCATTCTTTAATTCATTTCGCATTGGCAGTAGGAAAGGAAACGGGATCACCAGGCAGGCCTACCCATGATATGAAATATGGGACCTGAACCCCAATTGCTCATATTAGAGTGAGGTCTATTAACCGCTATTAGCTACTGCAACTTCGCCATAGAGGCCGTCCTTGTTTAGCAACCGTCTAAAAGCTGCTCATGACCTGGTTCCAGAGTTCCAGTGGCCGCACGCATCCTTGTGGCCACATGACCCCATTTGGGGCCCTTGGCTACTGGCTCACCGTTAGGGCCAGTTGCAGTGTTCTGCAGTTGTGCAACTTTGGCTTATTATGTTTGCCAGTTTCTGGCCTTTTCAGCTGGTTTCTGGAGCGGCGGAGAAACTATCGGAATACAATGATTTAATGGCTTCAAAAAAAGGTTTTAAATTGGGTCTGATTGCTTGGGTGCCTTGACTTACGACTGACTTACAATGGAAATTCCAGGTTCCTTTACCATCCTAAGACAAGGACTATTTGTATTGTATTTTTCCTCTCTTAACCTTTTGGGGTGTGGTGTTTTTTTTGTATATCTAATTTGCATTGACTGAGAACAAGTGCAACCTTTTTCAAGTGGGCCTGCTGTTGCTTTTTTCGTCCCCTTCTTCCAGGAAACCATGATGGACCATGCGCTGCGCACCATCTCGTACATTGCTGACATTGGCAACATCGTGGTCTTGATGGCTCGCCGTCGAATGCCCCGGTCAGCATCCCAGGATTGCATCGAGACGACCCCCGGGGTGCAAGAAGGGAAGAAACAGTATAAGATGATCTGCCACGTTTTTGAATCTGAGGATGTGAGTGAACATCATCCATACCCATCGGCGTTGACTTGACCCTTGGTGATTCTCCAAGGGAGACGTTTCTTGCGTACCTCCTACCTGATCTTTTACACTCAAAATGCCAGGAATGGTCTTCACATAAAGAAGGTGTTCAACCAACTGAGCAATTCTTTTACATCTTCATGCAGATCTCTCTTTGCTGCAGATTCTCAGTCACCGTATTTTATTTTGGTGAAGGAAGGTTGCAGAAGAGCTAAAATATTAAAAAGTCGAGCCATATGATTGCAGAACAGGAAGCTGGACTTTAAAAGTGATGGTTTGGTTCCAGAATAGTGACCAGAAAGAAGAGTAATGTTAAATGGCTTCAGCAAGCATTTAATTCTGGGTCTTTTTACAGGTGCTTGTTAAATTAGAAGTCCATGTTATGACCCACAACAGACACTTATACTGTCTCTGCTGTAGTGACATCTAGGGGCCAAAACTTGCCTATTTTTCCTATCTTAAATGGCCACACAGAAATTCTACACAAGATGCCGTTGTGAACAATTAGCACCTCATTTTGAAAAATGTTCATGTTACAACCTTTGGCCAAGGCAGAGTTGAACCCAACTGTTGAAAATCATGAATTATCTTTCTCTCTTACCTGTATGAAGGTCAAAATATTCCAGTGGTACACCTAGAACCATATATATATTCTGGATCCCAATTCCCATAAATTCTAGCCAGAATAGAAGCCTTCTAGATATTGGTCCAATATTCTTCACAGGGATGGACTCTTATGTTCCATAATTTCTACCTTGGATGGCATATCTCTTTGCAATTATGGGAACTGAAATCCAATAAACCGCAGAGAATAACAGAGTAGAGTAGGAATCTGGAGTAAGGGCTCACATAACGCTATGGAATCATATGTTGTCTTTTATTATCTAATCAATTAGGTTATTGCAAGAGCCATCAGAGCTAATTGCCTCTGATAATCTGATACTCCAAGAGTGAGTCTAATGGCCTTAGAAATACGTCTGATGTTATGGCTGGCGCCATATCTGAAGACAGTCCATTTCCAAACCCAATTATGCATTATGGGAGAAAAGGGTTCCTCTTTTATTTGTCCTGTTAGTCTCCTGGACTCCCGGAGACGTATTTGTTGAAAGAAAGCTTCAAAATCTTAAAAACAGAGGAATTCATTTTCTCCCAAGTCGTGTTAGTGGTGAAGGACCAAAAACTAAGGTGATCTCTACTTAAGGAAGCCAACTGAAGCTCATCAAGTCTTGTCTCCCCTCTCAACCCCAAATAATTGTGACAACCATTCTGTTCTTATTAGCTGGTCCTGCAAGGTTGGCTTAGCTCAATGTTTTTTATCCTTACAAGTCTTCACCCAAACAGTTTCCATTTCTACAGCAAAATAAAAACATTGTCCAATGGGGTCAACTTCCAGAATAGGATGAGCCAAACTCTTCAGTTGGCCAACAAGTATGTTGTTCCCCTCCAAAGATCCTGATCTCTTTCCTTCTCCTCTTGAAGGCCCAGCTGATCGCTCAATCAATCGGACAAGCTTTCAGCGTGGCCTATCAGGAATTTCTCCGGGCCAACGGCATCAACCCCGAAGATCTGAGTCAGAAAGAATACAGCGACATCATCAACACCCAGGAAATGTATAACGATGACTTGATTCACTTCTCCAACTCAGAGAACTGCAAAGAGGTGATTGCCTTTTTCTGAACTGGGTTATTTTGGGGTGGTGGGGGATGTGTTTTATCCTTGGAAGCTCCTTCAACTTTTCCTCGTGCGTAAGGTCACTGCTGAGAACTTAGCAGTAGTTTCGAGAGCATTTGCAAAGCCTTCAGGGGTAGAAGAGTGAAATTAAGTTCCCCGAGATGTTGACCAGGGCTACCAGTGGTGTATTAACCAGGAAGCAGACTAAGCATGTGCTTAGGGCACCAGTCCCAAAGGGGCCCCACAAAGTTGAGAATATGGCTTTGTTTGTACGGTATGTACAAAGGAGAAGGCACCAAGATTTGTCAGGGCTTAGGGCACCAGTGAGCCTTAATCCACCACTGAGGGCTACCCTATCAGAGTGGCATAAATCCAGAATATCCTCTAGAAAGAACCAATGCTTTTTCTGTATCATTTTTATTGTTGTGCACCAACCAGAGTCATTTCTTGTGAGGTGAGTAGCCATATAAACGTTATAGATGATGGATGGATGGAAGGACAGTCATTTTTTTGCTGTTGTTTTTGGAAAACAAAGGGGTGAGTTATCCCATTTACCTGTTTTAAGCTGCCTTGGAGGACTGAGGGGGTTTAATACTTGAAAAGTCATTTTGGAGGAGAAAACTACTCTTGAAAGTAGCTGCATAGATGGAACCACAAGGCAAGTCGTCTCTCTATCCTTGACAGCTCGGGCTGTGTAGAAGCAATACGCTTGGACATTGAAAAGCAGCCAAAGGAATGAGAAGCGAAGCCAAAATATACAAGCCAGGTGGAAATTGGATTTTAAATCAATACTGGGGGAAGGGTAAATAAATTGTAATCTACTCAGATTCAGGATGAGGGAGAGAGCACGCATGCTCCCTGGTGCATGTTGGCCCGTTGTTTGCATTACTGGAGAAAGTCAATAACAAACTAGGTTTTCCTTGAAGAAGTCACAATGCAGAATGAGGAGAATGAACTTGGGGGTGGAAATATTTGCCAAACAGAGGCAGGATGGAAGTCACTTTCCTTAATGCGGCATTTTTCTGGAAAGGGGCCTGGTTCTTAGCCCTGGCTGTTTCCTAGGCCAGCCCAAAAAAGTCACTTCAGATTTCCCCAACAACCGTGTCTTCTCTTCAAAAAAATAACTAAGTCAAGCTTGATTGAGGCTGGACTTTTTCTGCATGCAGGGAAAGTGTTTTGCAACAGCCTGCAGCAGTTCTCTGGAGATTATGCACCAAACTTTTGGAGAACATGCTTGGAGAAGAAACCACCTCCTGTTTCTCCAGATGTTCCACAAACATCCTCTCCGCTCTTTTGTCTTCCAGCTGCAGATCGCCAAACACAAGGGGGAGATCCTTGGTGTGGTGGTTGTGGAGTCTGGCTGGGGGTCCATTTTGCCCACGGTCATCCTGGCTAATATGATGAATGGAGGGCCGGCAGCTCGTTCCGGAAAGCTCAGCATCGGAGACCAGATTATGTCCATTAATGGGACCAGTCTAGTTGGCCTTCCTTTAGCAACCTGCCAAGGAATCATTAAGGTACCCATCTATCCTTATTTGTGTCAGCTGGTCATTTGGGAGGATGGAATGACGCTAGTGGCTTCCACATTAATTCCTCCTATTATCATATTTACATATTGGCTACGTTCTGACACCTATCTCAAACCTATGTTGAGCCACTAACGAAGTGCCCAGGTGAGTTCTGACAACATGTTGAGAATCCCTAACCATCATTTAAAGTAGCCCGGACACTAGGCCAATTGTGACATTCTGCAAAGGATGCAAGTTACACCTGTTGCCTCATTTGGTGTGGTGATGTCATGATTTTCTTCTGGCCAGTTCCGGATGTCCATCTTGTCTAACTTGCTTTGCTTGATGAGATAATGACTAACGTTGAGTGTCTTCTGCAGGGTCTTAAGAATCAGACACAAGTGAAATTGAACATTGTCAGTTGCCCTCCGGTCACCACTGTCCTAATCAAGCGCCCGGATCTGAAATACCAGCTGGGTTTCAGTGTACAGAATGGAATTGTGAGTCTTTTCGTTCGTTCAATCCTCGATATGATAATTGGGCTAGGAAAGCAATTTATTCTCAACAGAAGAGGGCAACTCAATGCTTGGGTATCTTGTCTTGTCTTGTGGACAAGTCCTGGAAAAGAAGCCATGTCAGTCTGCCACAAAAACTCGGTGTCCTCACAAATATTCGTACCTTCACCCAGCTTGCAATGAGCACCCAGATGATATACAGAGCTGGTGCCTTCTCTGCTTCTTTCCAGTGGGTAGAGTAAGTCATGGAACAGTTGAGTTCATAGGGTTGCGGTGGGTCAGACACGACTTCGCAACTAACAACAACCACAACTGTATGTGGGGGTGTGAAGGCTCGTGTTTGGTTCTTCAGGACAGGATGGTGGGGCTCCTTAAAGTTCTCCTCCTTTAAAAGGAGATGCTTCCAGTCCAGATGCTTCTGCCAGAGGTCTTATGCAGCTTTGGCCACCCATATAGAATCACCAGATGGCTTCGGAATTGTTTTATCATCTGCTAGGCCACTTTTTAAATTGTCGCTTAGTACCATCTAGTGGCTATAACATATATTCACGATTAAGGAAAATTCCTGGTGCAGAAACCTAACCCACAATTTGCTCTTCTCAGCAGTTACGTCCACAGCAACCTCCAAATTGATGTCTTGCAATAAGATGAGACTTCTACAGGACTCTGGGGGCTGAGAAATAAGTCCAGAGGGGGTTATAAAGACCAAACTCTTTGGGATTTTCCATAGGAAATTTGGCTCGTAAATAAACAAAACCTTTTTTTTTAAAAAAATTTTTTTGCAGTATTACAAATAACAAGAAGAGCCAGATTGGTTTTCTTTTAATAGGATTTTTATTGAAAATGTTTTAAAAAGAAGATAAAAACGGATACCAATTCATGTAAACTAAGGAAGAAAAAAGAAAGAAAAAAAAAGCAAAGAAAAATGCACATTTTAATATAATGTAAAAATCAAGCCTTTTTGACCATGAGTTTTCCGTGGGTCCATCTGTATATGATAATCCAAATTCTTAGCCCCCATTGACCATCCGTTCTTTAACCTCTTCTTTTTCTTCTTGAACCTAAATTCTTCTCCCCAAATGTCAATGAAAGTGGACGCCGGACAGCAAGAAGGTCCACTTCTCCAGGAAATGGTTTCAAAACTTCCAGCCTCTTTGGTGCACCGTATCAACTTCCTAACAGGCTTTTGAAAGAAAGCGCTTCCCAGAGTCAGGATGAGTCAGAGAACAGGAATTAAAGCCCATTTGTATGCGCGTTGTGTGTGCACAGGGACCTATTCCCATAGCAACCATTTCTACACTGTTTTCCAGCCGGCACTCACAGGAAGTGTGGAGTTTCCTTTGGGGAAAGCGCACACTTAAAAGCACGAGGATCTAGGAGAAACCTCTGACTATCGCTCTCCTTTCTTGCAGGAACTAGATGAAGGCATTTTAGTTCCATCAGGAGAGAGGCACTGGTGGGCTGGGACTTGGAAGATCATTTCCTGATCAACCAGGACCTCTGGATTGCGCTCTGAGGAGTCATCATCAGAGTTTGTGGAGGCCTTCATGGCCTCTGAGCTTGGTGGTTGGCTTGCAGATGTCTCATGACCCAACTTCAGCTTAGACACCATCCTTGCAAAATTTTGAATCTTAAGATCAACTCTGCTGCCACTTCAACAACGTCCTTCCCTACTGATGTTGGGTTGGCATTGCCCATTGCGATCATCTTAGCTTCCTACTGTCGAGTAACGTTTGCTCTGTCTTTGTCCACCTTTAGAAAGCAGGGGGTAAAGATGGTGAAAGATGTCAGAGGGTTAAAGACTGAATCTATCAACCAAGCAAGGGGAATGCATGATTTCTGTGTAGTGTGATAGCTAAAAAGACCTTCCCATTATTTCCAACCAAACCGCCCCTTTTCCATTTAATTGAACCCCTTTCCTTCTCTCCATCCAGATCTGCAGCTTGATGCGAGGTGGGATTGCAGAGAGAGGCGGGGTCCGGGTAGGGCATCGCATTATCGAGATCAACGGTCAAAGTGTCGTCGCTACAGCGCATGAGAAGATTGTCCAAGCTTTGTCCAACTCCGTAGGAGAGGTGAGTCTTCCTAGTGTGCATTTATTTTTTTTAGCGGTGATAAAGATACAAAAGAAAGAACCATTAGTACATTCCAAGCTAGGCAACCGGACCAGAAATGTCATACCAAACTTCACAAGTTGCCCCGTGGTTGGGATGGCAGAGTCCATGAAGGAAGGTAGCAACAGCACTTGTATACCACTAAATCTAAGTGATTTACAAATGTCCGCCTCTTGCCCTCAACAATCTGAGTCTTCGTTTTAGCGACTTTGGAAGAATGGAAGACTTGAGTCAACTTTGAGCCAGTCAGGATCGAACTGCTGGTAGTGAGCAGACTAAGCCTGCAATTCTGCATTCTAACTATTGGAAGGGAAGGGAAGGGAAGGGAAGGGAAGGGAAGGGAAGGGAAGGGAAGGAAGGAAGGAAGGAAGGAAGGAAGGAAGGAAGGAAGGAAGGAAGGAAGGAAGGGACGGACTAGCAATACTAGGACTTATATATCACTTCACAGTCCTTTACAGACCTAAGCGGTTTATAAAGTCAGCCTCTTGCCCCAAACAATCTGGGTCCCCATTTTACCCACCTTGGAAGGATGGAAGGCTGAGTCAACCTTGAGCTGGTCAGGATCAAACTGCTAGCAGTCGGCAGAGTCAGCCTGAAATCCTGCATTCTAACCACTGCGCCACCACAGCTCCAAAATCACGCTAAGAAGTGTCCTCTACTTAGGGATGATACTTCAGTACCTTGGAAATTGTCTTTCCATCTTTGTCCACATCTGTCCGTCAAGTTCAGTACTGGCTGTCTCAGGGGGAATAAGCTGTTGCCCCCACATTTTTGTGGCCTGCACAACCTGCCTTGAGCTCCTGGGAATCAGAACTTCATCAGGGTGATGACCTGTTGGGTGTTAGGTATACTGTGGTCGGCCATGGCTTTAGGAAGACATCTCTTCCATCTCTGCCCTGGTTGTTGATGGGCTTTGACCTTATAACGGTTATCTTGACCACATCCAAGGTCCACACTAACCATGAAGAATGGCTGTAGTCAGCCAGTCTGAAGCCTCCAGTCCTTCACCATCATCCCCAATTCTCTTCCAAACAGATCCACATGAAGACAATGCCTGCTGCCATGTTCCGGCTGCTCACCGGTCAAGAAACTCCACTCTACATCTAAAAGAGAAACTCAACTTCTCCTCCAGCAAACCATATCCTGCTGCCTAAGCTTCAACTTCCAGAGAAATGTTGTATTTTGTAGGAAACGGGCACGATTTGAACCCAAAACTGGATATGCTGGACACTCAATGGATCCAGTTCCTTTGCCTTTTTTTTTCTGTTGGGTTTGTTTCTTAGTTGAGCTCTCTCTCTCCTTTGAAAACCTTGCCAAAAGAGGATGGCAAATAACCACAGAAACCATCTTTCCAGCCACATGATTGACAATCTCCATCTTCATGACTCAGGATGAAGTCCACCACAAAGCTGATCAAGTCCCATGGCTGTTTGAACCTTCTGGCTGCAGAGAGACACTTGTTACGTACTTCTAATACTTTACTCTAAGGTGAATTCCAGCATGTCCATTGTCCTCCGTCCGTCTCTGCCACCTTCAGCCACGAGGCACATGCGAACCAGTCTACGGAAACAGGCCCTTTCCATGTGGGGCGCTTCCACTGGTCTGCGCCTTCCCCAACACGGTGGACTCGGGGTGGGGTGGGGGTCGTTGTAATGGCTGAGAAGGGGTGCAGTTTTTAAGGGGGTGCTGGAGGGAGGCTTGGGGGATGGGTGGGGGGGAGAGCGTCCATTGCTATCAAACGAGAGAGAAATACCCCTGCTGTTGTCATTGGTATTCTTATTGTCGTCACGTGACTTTTGATGAGACGTGGTTTGTATGTGAAGTAGAAAGGTTCCAGAGTGAATGTGAGTGATATGGAAAAAAAAAAAAAAAACCAAACCAAAACACCTTTGGGGGGAATTCTTAATATATCTTCCAGAAGAAGAAGAAAGCGAAAGAATCTTTGCAATACGAATGCAGGATATTTATTTCGATGAGACGCATTTCAGTTTTGGAGAGGCCGATTCTTTTTAACGCTGAAAATACTGTTCCTAGAGTTCTGCCAGTCAGGAAAACCAGGGAAATGGGTCCTCTTTTCTCGTCCCACCGCCTTCCATATCACCCTTTCGTTGACCTTCGGTTCACTCTCGGAAAGCCATGCTTAAAATACGACTTTTTTTATATCAAAATGTTTAATATCGTTCTGTTTGTCTTCGATTCTCCTGAGCCAACATGTCTGAATGTAAAAGGTGACGCCGAATGCAGAATCTTTGCCATCTGCAGTATTAAGATTTGTGGCAACGATAAACCAAGGAATAGTATCATGTGTTCATTACAAGATAAATGTCAACTGATGTAACTCTTCGTCTTGATTTCTTTTCCTCTCTCCTGTGGTCGAAAAACAACACTGTGACAAAAAGAAAGAAAGCCTTAGCCTACCGTAACGCAAACCATAGCGTTACTCTACTTCAAGGAGTAACACTGTAGAGCTTTGTTGCATGCCAGGGACCCTAGGAGAGAATTAATCTATACTCACTAATAAATTTGGAGTCATGAAACAGTGCAGCTTCACTTGGTTGTTTTGCAAACCACCGTGCCAAGGCTGGTGGTATCTAAGTCTCCTTCGAAGGAACGTCTTGGAAAAGGACAAGGTCTTGCTGTAGATAAATGCATTGCTTGGCCTTTCTTCTACCCATCAGATATTGGTCTTGTAGACTTCTGAGGAGCACCAGTCGGTGAGCATCTCAACTTCCTTGGTGCTCCACTGGAGGTCACTGTAGATTCATGCTCAAAAGGCACTTTCCAAATATGGCGGTTTGCTGGGTTATTCTCCTCTCCAAACTTTTGAAGCTCCTGCTGTAGATGGGGGAGAGGAGGAGGAGGAAAACTTGGTGGGCTAGACTTCACCTTCTACGAATTCTAGCCAGCATAGTCAGACATTATGGGGCGATATAAGTTGTGTTTTCACTGACTACCACTCCAGAAGGAGATGTTCACATGGGTTTCCTCAGGACAATTACAGTGAAGTAAGAGTGGAGTTCTGAAGAAAGGGCCTTAAGTGAGCAGAATAAGAGATGATCTAAAACTCCTCCTCAGAACAACAAAGGAATTGGTTAGATGCTTGCTCCACATTTCCTTCAGAAGCTAACCGTGATATATACAACACCCTTTTCTTCCAATCTTCTCAAGAACTACCTAGCCATGGCTGGATGGAGAGAATGCAATTAAGTTTAATGTTCTCCATGAACTTCAGTTATTGAGGGGGAGTTTGAACTTGAATTTCCTAAAGTCCACCAAATCTAGGTTGTGAAAAAATGGGAATTACATAAACCCCAAACGAAATACCATGTTAGTGACCACGTTGGAATTGGAAACCACGTTCTCCATTTTGTTCTATTTTTTTGTTCTTCAGTTCAAATAACTCAACAACGATAGCAGAGGGAGAAAAAGAGAGAGAGAGGTTGATCTATTGCCAGCACAAAATCAGTTCTGGAAGTCGGTTGTCTCCAGAAATACCCTTTTAATTATGAAAACACTGTTCAGATTTGGTGCAAACACTTTTGAGGTACAGTGATTAAAATGCAACTCCTACATTGTACAGAAGGACCACTGCGGCTTAGCAAGAAAGTTTATTTCCTTCCCTCGCCCCATCCCACTCTACCCCAGCCCCTCCCCAGTCTCCCTTACTCCCCAGACGGACCCAGAGAACTTAGCTTGGTGGGAGGAGGAAAAGCTACGCTTCAGTGGGTTTTCTGTTTGTTTGTTTGTTTGTTTCATTGTTAAATAAGAAGCCATTTTTTCCCCCATAAAAGAGTCTTGGTTGAATATGCAGTCATGAAGAGTTGAGTGCTCAGCCTTGGGAATCAAAATCTAGCGTGGAACTCTACAAGAGGAAGACTCTTCCAGAGACCCTGGTTGACTTGGTTCCAGAGACCCTGGTTGACCCTGGTGGAACTCTACAAGAGGAAGACTCTTCCAGAGACCCTGGTTGACTTTCCTCTTGTTTCTTCCAAGACAGCCAGGGAAGAGGGGATGGATCTCCATCCGTTACGCAGCTCCCCAGAATCTCTTTTGCAGAGTTTGTATTCCTCAGTGGAGCAAAAGGCCCCTGGTCAAAGGATGGTCTCTCGGCACACTTCAATTAAACTGTGGGGTCTTCCTCTTTCAAAGGCATGTGTGATGGGCTCCCTGCGTAAGAAGGCAACGGGAGAGCTTAGGGCTCCGCAGCTCTGGAGATGGAGGTCTTCCTGAAGCCACTTTCTCGAGGTATCCATATTCTGCTGGGAGCCCATGATGACCTGTGGAAGAGCCAGGTGAAAGAAACGATGAGGCAGGGCCCACCAAGGGCTTGAGTTGATCGCTGTCACTGGGGGGCTGGGGGAGGATGGAGATTTACTGGGGTTTGGACTGGGGCTTTCTGTAAGTCACTGTGAGTTGGACAGCGAAAGAAAGAAAGAAAAAGAAAGAAAAAAAAGAAAGAAAGAAAGAAAGAAAGAAAGAAAGAAAGAAAGAAAGAAAGAAAGAAAGAAAGAAAGGAAGGGAGAGAGGAAGGAAGGGAGGAGACAGGGAGGGAGGAAGGAAAGAAGGAAGGAGGAAAGGAGAGGAGAGAGAAGAAAGGAAGAAAGGAAGCAAGAGTGGGGAAAGGAAGGAGAAGGAAGGAAGGAAGGAAGGAAGGAAGGAAGGAAGGAAGGAAGGAAGGGAAGGGAAGGGAAAAAAGAGAAGGAAAGAAGGACCTGGCTATTTAGGGCACATTGGTTCATCTCTCCTCCACCCATCCTGGTCCCACCAAGCAACTCAGAGAGGCTGCTCACCTGATCAATGATGTTGGCGCTAAAGATGGCTTCTTCCATGTGCCGTTCATCAGACTTGATGACAGACCGGATGCTGTTGACCACATGACGCACTTCTGGGGTCAAGTTGCAGTTCGAATGTTCCAAAAATTTGGCCACCAGAATCTTAGTGTCTTTGTAGGCCTGCAGGTCCACCAGGGAATGGGGCCGCTCTTTGCAGAGGCTCAGGATGACCTTTGGCTTCTGGGAAAGTTCGGCTTTTGGGGGGTCCCTTGGTTTCCCGGTTGGCACAAGTCGGTTCCCGGGTTCCTGGCAAGTAGAGGCAGCCACGTGAGGACCAGACACGGGAACTAAAAAGGGGGTGGGGTGAGGACGGAGGGGGAGAAAAGGAGCTTTAAAATGATAGCTCAGCTGGACATATACCTCGTGAAGTCAAAGAGTGGTCACCACCGGGAGCGGAGAAGTGACACCTGGCTAGCTTAGGGATCTTTTGGGGTGACCAAAGTTTGGAGACCTCCGCTCTATGGGAGACAAGGTGTCAGCTGGATCTCCAGCCTGGGTTTTCCCTTTGATGCACACTTGCTATTGGCTGCCATAGTGACAGGGAGGGGGGCATGGCATTTGGGCTTGGGAAGTGTGCTGGTGAGAGATGAAGGCCCATGTGAACTAAAAGGGTGGCTTCTTCTGAAGAATTACTGCACGGTGGAGTGAAGTTGTTTACACCCGGTCAAGGCCAACCATTCCAGAACTCCAGATGGATGAAAGCATCTGAAGATGTGCCCCACATGACACTGTGTGAGGTTGTAGATTAGACATTCAGCCTGGGGGTCCCTGGGGGGGCAGGGGAGGGATTTGGGGAAACTTTCAATATATAACTTTCGTGCCTTTTGGCTCATATCTTGCCTTCTTTTCGCCGCTATCATTTCCAGCTCAGTAAAAGTACCTCTTGGGTGCAATGGTTTTCTTTCTTGGGTTTTGAACGGAGGGAGGCCTGACACAGGGCCTTCTTGATGGTGGTGTTGGGATGAATGATGGTTAGGCAACTGATGGAAACCAGGACCAGGAAGCAGCTGCTGCCCTTATTCCTAAGCACCCCTTACCTTCGGTAGTAGCCGAAAAGGACAAAGGATCACTGCTGGATCGGACAATGTTGCAAATGGCGTTTTTCCTTCCCCGTGGCTGGGCTGTCCTCTTGAAGCATCTGTGGGGCAAACTGTTTACAGGCACTGAGCAATGGGGGCAGAGAGTCTGTGGGGCAGCTGGATGGCTGAAGACCCCACAACACATCTTCAGTGGCTTTGACGAAGAGGTGGCTTTGTCTTCTCTGGCCAAGCCAAAAGAGTCTCTCTCAGGAATGCCAGCACTCTCTGGCGAACAGTCCGAGAGCCGGCTATGAGAGCATGTCCTGCTACAAGGCTGGTCCACAGTGGTCTGGCTGCGGCCGACGACCTCATCGTCTGGAGAGTCCGGCAAGCAAGTTTGAGTTAACTTGCGGTTGTTCAGGCTGGAACAACTTCTGTTTCTTGCCCCTCTTCCTCCAAGACCACCTGGAAAGAAACCAGAAGA